TAATGGAACAGAACAGAGATGTCAGAAATAGACTCACACACATTTGGTCAATTGATTCATGAATGTGCAAAGGTAATTCAAAGGAGAAGTATAGTCTTTCCAACAAACGGTGTGATGCTGGAACAACTGAACATCCCTATGCAAATTATTGATTAATTATAAATTAGTACATAAACTTCAAACCAAACTTGACACCGTATACGAAAACAGACATGCAATCTCAAAATGGATTATAGGTCAAGGTGTAAAACCTAAGCATATAAAACTTCTGTATGAAAACAGAAAATCTTTGTGGCCTTGAGTGAGGCAAAAAAGTTTTAAATATGATAGCAAAGCCATAATATGTAAAAGAAAAATGAAAAATTGGGCTTCATCAAAGTGAAAAACTTTTGCTCTCTGAAAGATACTGTAATGAGAAAGAAAAGACTAGCCACATACTGGAATAATATTTGCAAACCTCATATCTGACAAAGCACTTGTATACAGAATACAGAAAGAGGTCTCCAAACTCAACAACAATAAAACAAACAACCCATTAAATAAATGTGCAGAAGATTTGCAGACACTTCTCTAAAGATAATGTATTAATGGTAAATAAGTGATGAAGAGGTATTCAGCATTATTATCAAGCAAATGAATAGGAATTAAAATCGTATTGAAATGCCACTGCATACATATTAACTAAATAGAGAGGATCTGACAATACCAAATGCTTGCAAAGATGCAGAGCAACTGCAATGGAACAGAACAGAGATGTCAGAAATAGACTCACACACATTTGGTCAATTGATTCTTGAATGTGCAAAGGTAATTCAAAGGAGAAGTACAGTCTTTCCAACAAACGGTGTGATGATGGAACAACTGAACATCCCTATGCAAATTATTGATTAATTATAAATTAGTACATAAACTTCAAACCAAACTTGACACCATATACGAAAACAGACATGCAATCTCAAAATGGATTATAGGTCAAGGTGTAAAACCTAAGCATATAAAACTTCTGTATGAAAACAGAAAATCTTTGTGGCCTTGAGTGAGGCAAAAAAGTTTTAAATATGATAGCAAAGCCATAATATGTAAAAGAAAAATGAAAAATTGGGCTTCATCAAAGTGAAAAACTTTTGCTCTCTGAAAGATACTGTAATGAGAAAGAAAAGACTAGCCACATACTGGAATAATATTTGCAAACCTCATATCTGACAAAGCACTTGTATACAGAATACAGAAAGAGGTCTCCAAACTCAACAACAATAAAACAAACAACCCATTAAATAAATGTGCAGAAGATTTGCAGACACTTCTCTAAAGATAATGTATTAATGGTAAATAAGTGATGAAGAGGTATTCAGCATTATTATCAAGCAAATGAATAGGAATTAAAATCGTATTGAAATGCCACTGCATACATATTAACTAAATAGAGAGGATCTGACAATACCAAATGCTTGCAAAGATGCAGAGCAACTGGAACTCTCATATGTTCCTGCTGGGAATGTAAAATGATACAACCACTTTGGAAAAAGTTTGACAATTTCTTAGAAAGTTGAATATACACTTATCATAAGACCCAGAAATCCTACTGCTAGGTATTCACCTAAAAGAAATAAAAAATACACACAAAATTTTGTACAAGAATGTTTACAGTAGCTTTGTTCATAATACTCCCAAACTGGAAACGACTCAAATGTCTTAACTGGTGAATGAATAAATCTTTTGCATGTCCATACAATGGAATACTATTTAATCCTTCAATTAATAGACGAAAACTTTTATAATGTTTTTATTTAACAATGTTGCTTATTTATATATGTCAAATGTTGAATTTTCTTCATGATGCTTAACAGTATTCAGCAACGTATAGATAGATATATTAGTTGTTATTTCAATGTTGTAATATGTAATTGTTTCCATAAGCACACCACCCATTGAATGAATTTTCACATCTCAAAGTTTAATGAAAAGAACACTGTGAAGAGTGTTAGATGCCAGTTAAAAGAGCCTGGAGTTTTTGATCCTAAATAATAAAATGATATTACATAAATGAAATAAAAAGGCAGAAGATACAAGAAGGTGTTGCATGTGTTCAATATACATCCATTTATTAATGCATATGCCAGAGGATCACATCATAACTATGCATTTGGAGAAGTCATTAACAAAGCAGTTGCCTAACAATTTAACATGAATTAGCCTGTCTCACTGGTCCGTGTTTTCACACCCAGTAGCAGCATGGTTCCAAGAGTCATGATACTAGTCACTTCTGTTCTTAACCTATCAGATCAGCTTGTTCACAAAATACAGTCATTTTAACAGGTTTTTGTTTCTGCATATATAGGAAATCCACTAACAGTTATGACCATAACTTACAATGACAAAGTACTGTTCTACAGCCAAGTATTTAGGTACAGACTCCAAAAAGTCAAACCATAAAAATACAGAAAATGCAAATATTCATAAACTATTTCATATTCAAAAACCAACCTAGGTATATTTTTATGTACTGAGCTGTACGAAGTTGTTTTCCTATTGCATCTGATGCATTTTGGGCTTATAAAGAACAAATTACAAAATTGTAGCAATTTCTTCAGACTTCATTTTACATTTTTTCACTAAATACATGAAGACATGACTTTTGGCTCCAGTGCAATATATAGTAATGCTACATTCAGTACAAATTATTGAATATTTTTAAAGAGAAAACATTTAACTGATTATAGAGTTAAGTAAATAAGGAATTAGTCATAACTGTCAGAGGGAAAATACTAACAATATAGTTATTTATCACAGGTAATTTTAAGAAACGAACCTTCCATCTCATTTCTACACTTTTAATCCTATGACTTTCTAAAGAATAAAATATGGTAAAGCTGAGATATAATGCTATATACCAAATGCATCGACTTATCTTTTTTACAAATGTGATGTGACCGTGGCAGTTTTAAAGAACAAAATTTTGTCAATATATCAAACATTGTTAAACTCTATTTAGCATTGCTTTGTATAAGTTTGCTTTAATAGCATTTCTTCACAGTGATATTTCAGAAAGGTTGGAAACTGGTCAACATAAAATATTTCCCACCTGTTACAATGACAAAGTACTGTTCTACAGCCAAGTATTTAGGTACAGACTCCCAAAAGTCAAACCATAAAAATACAGAAAATGCAAATATTCATAAACTATTTCATATTCAAAAACCAACCTAGGTATATTTTTATGTACTGAGCTGTACGAAGTTGTTTTCCTATTGCATCTGATGCATTTTGGGCTTATAAAGAACAAATTACAAAATTGTAGCAATTTCTTCAGACTTCATTTTACATTTTTTCACTAAATACATGAAGACATGACTTTTGGCTCCAGTGCAATATATAGTAATGCTACATTCAGTACAAATTATTGAATATTTTTAAAGAGAAAACATTTAACTGATTATAGAGTTAAGTAAATAAGGAATTAGTCATAACTGTCAGAGGGAAAATACTAACAATATAGTTATTTATCACAGGTAATTTTAAGAAACGAACCTTCCATCTCATTTCTACACTTTTAATCCTATGACTTTCTAAAGAATAAAATATGGTAAAGCTGAGATATAATGCTATATACCAAATGCATCGACTTATCTTTTTTACAAATGTGATGTGACCGTGGCAGTTTTAAAGAACAAAATTTTGTCAATATATCAAACATTGTTAAACTCTATTTAGCATTGCTTTGTATAAGTTTGCTTTAATAGCATTTCTTCACAGTGATATTTCAGAAAGGTTGGAAACTGGTCAACATAAAATATTTCCCACCTTTTCTATTTTATATGCAAAAATCATCACAATATATCTGTAACTATAAAATTACAAATGCTTTCTAGAAGGGGCTGCATTTCTAGTTATGGTAGAAAAGGGTAATTGTAAGACATCTACAACGAGGTAAGTCTAAATAAAACAAAATTTCAGTAATGGATGCTTTCTGAACTGTGAGCAATATAAACTAATTTAACAGACAGCTAATGTACAAACTCAAAAGACTAACTGTTTTTTAGTATGTTTAACAGATGAGAGATTGGAAATGAAATGAAATAAACATTTTAAGAGATATTTTGGATATTTCACTTTACATCGTAATTTTGGCACTTCATGGAACATTTATTTTCCAAAGACCAGCATCGGTATAAAAGTTCAGGGTTTCTACATACCTTGTAGACATTGTACTTGAGTACCTGCAAACATTGAAATGTAGTGAAATAAACATTCCCATGTATTTGTACATGCATGCAGCAGTCAAACAATAATAGTTTGTGAATTCTCAAAGATCCCATCTTGGAGTATTCATTTCAAGCACTCTCTTCTGTAGATCTTGTTTCAGATTTAAGTCTCACAAACTCTTTAGCCACATCATCGCCAGTCCTCTGAGAGAGTATTCTAAGGATAGTCAAACCAGTTTCATCCATCGAGATATTTTTCAAAAGAGGATACCATGCCCCATAGCTTCCCTTTTCTGCTATGTTCCGTAGCTGAATGACTGTCATTCCGATGATTCGATCTTCTCGGGCAAAGCAGTAATCCTTAACAGAGAGATGAATTTCATAGGCCCCTGGGCGGTTTTCATTGCCCAGAATGCTGTGTAGATTAAAAATGCAAATTTTGAGCAAAAAACTTCATCTAGGAATCAATATGGTTCTAAAATACTGTTGAAAATATACTACATTGTATATTGATTAATTAAAGTTAAAAAAATTGTATACACTGTTCAGGCTATTACGTTGGCAAAGAGAGTATTATATTTTAACCCTGATGCAAATATCCTTTACATTTTACTGAGACTGTCTTTGCATAGATATTACTGGAAATCTAACTTTAAAATGCCTTCTGTCCCTGTTAGAAAAAAGATATGTTTTACTGCCTGGATGTTAAGCATATTAGTAGAAATGGGAATTAAAATACTAGCTTTCTAGAAGGGGCTGCATTTCTAGTTATGGTAGAAAAGGGTAATTGTAAGACACCTACAACGAGGTAAGTCTAAATAAAACAAAATTTCAGTAATGGATGCTTTCTGAACTGTGAGCAATATAAACTAATTTAACAGACAGCTAATGTACAAACTCAAAAGACTAACTGTTTTTTAGTATGTTTAACAGATGAGAGATTGGAAATGAAATGAAATAAACATTTTAAGAGCCTTTCTAGAAGGGGCTGCATTTCTAGTTATGGTAGAAAAGGGTAATTGTAAGACATCTACAACGAGGTAAGTCTAAATAAAACAAAATTTCAGTAATGGATGCCTTCTGAACTGTGAGCAATATAAACTAATTTAACAGACAGCTAATGTACAAACTCAAAAGACTAATTGTTTTTTAGTATGTTTAACAGATGAGAGATTGGAAATGAAATGAAATAAACATTTTAAGAGATATTTTGGATATTTCACTTTACATCGTAATTTTGGCACTTCATGGAACATTTATTTTCCAAAGACCAGCATCGGTATAAAAGTTCAGGGTTTCTACATACCTTGTAGACATTGTACTTGAGTACCTGCAAACATTGAAATGTAGTGAAATAAACATTCCCATGTATTTGTACATGCATGCAGCAGTCAAACAATAATAGTTTGTGAATTCTCAAAGATCCCATCTTGGAGTATTCATTTCAAGCACTCTCTTCTGTAGATCTTGTTTCAGATTTAAGTCTCACAAACTCTTTAGCCACATCATCGCCAGTCCTCTGAGAGAGTATTCTAAGGATAGTCAAACCAGTTTCATCCATCGAGATATTTTTCAAAAGAGGATACCATGCCCCATAGCTTCCCTTTTCTGCTATGTTCCGTAGCTGAATGACTGTCATTCCGATGATTCGATCTTCTCGGGCAAAGCAGTAATCCTTAACAGAGAGATGAATTTCATAGGCCCCTGGGCGGTTTTCATTGCCCAGAATGCTGTGTAGATTAAAAATGCAAATTTTGAGCAAAAAACTTCATCTAGGAATCAATATGGTTCTAAAATACTGTTGAAAATATACTACATTGTATATTGATTAATTAAAGTTAAAAAAATTGTATACACTGTTCAGGCTATTACGTTGGCAAAGAGAGTATTATATTTTAACCCTGATGCAAATATCCTTTACATTTTACTGAGACTGTCTTTGCATAGATATTACTGGAAATCTAACTTTAAAATGCCTTCTGTCCCTGTTAGAAAAAAGATATGTTTTACTGCCTGGATGTTAAGCATATTAGTAGAAATGGGAATTAAAATACTATGTTGCACCCAATCATTGGAGGCAGGGTCTCCTTTTTCATATCAAGATTGTACGTAGAATTGGGCTGCTAGTGGTATGGGAGCTAGGCCAGAGTGGAGCGGTACCTCTCTGAAGAATATCTGTGCCATTTTAACATCACTTACTACAATATCTTTTCTTTACCACTGACTCCTGGATAAGTAGTTATATCTAGGAGCCTTTTCTCAGGGGAATGCACTGCATAGACTATCAAGCACTTAGATACTAAATTGGATACAAATTTCCAGAGTGAATCAGTTCCAGCAGAGCCTGGTGCTTCAACGCCAGTTCTTTCCTATGGTAACAGTTAGACCTGTCAGGTGTGTGACTGAGGATGGCCTCTCCTAATAACAACCTAAGACAACTTGTCAGTGCAGAATGGAGCATAATGAAGAAGGCTGAGTGGTGATATGCTGGGAATAATCTTCCTCCCCTCCTTATTTTAATTCATTCTCAGATATTCTTGACTTTCTAATGAATGCACATCTATTCCTCAGCTGTACAACCTTAAAAATTCTTGCCTTTTCCAGATGATTTTTTCTGATGAAACATTTTGCAGTCAAACTTCCATTTCTGGGTAACATTAATAACTAAACTGTGTACCTATGTTAGAGAAAATCTGAAATAATATGAAAGAAAATGGAATCTTGGTGGGTAAAAATAGAAGTGCAAAATATGATGGGAATCAGATCTTGTGAATTGAAATGCATCAAAATGCTGCCTTTTCTAAGAATAGTGGTCTTAGAGTGTTATATCTGAATTTTGCATGATTCAAGTAATTCCTAGAACATCTCAGAAGACATTTTAATTGGGTCAAAGTTTTTATGTAATTTGGGAGCATAAATAGGTGGAATCTTGTCAGCTGGTTTATTAGCAGGGATTAATGTCATTAATATAATAAGAACCCTTTTGATAGATATAGTAGGATAGTTAGGTTTTAATGAGTAGTAAGAAAGTAAAGTATTCAGAGCACAGAGTTCTGAAAGGACTGTGGGAAACCGAGAGTGAAAAACAAACCTGTGAAGACTTTTGGTGTATGTGAGTAAATGCCTAGGGCTTGGTCCTGTGTCCCCCATCTTCTAGCCATCCCTAGATCAACTCATTTAGATTTATGGAATTAAATAACATCTGTATGCAGATAACTCAAGTTATATCCAATTACATTTTTGTCATCTCTTCTTGGGTGTCCAATGGGCATCTCCAAATTAATAGATTTAAAACAAATTTCTTGATATCATTTCTTCTCCTTATTTTCCCATCTCAGTAAATCACTATCCACCCAATTGCTCTGCCAGAAATCTTCCAATCTGCCCCAATTGGATGCACTGTTCATCCTCCTCCTTGTACTTTTCAATAGAAAGCTGACCTGTAGGACTACGTCAAGAGGGTGTCTCTATGCTCTGACTTCCAGTTGATTTTGGCCAAAAAGGGAGTCCCATCAGGAGAAGAGAAGTGATGAGAGTGAGGTCAGAATCTTTATTTCACTTGCTTTTTGCTTGTGAGGCTGCTTCCCTCTGTGGAAGGTCCCTGCTTCTTTTAAGGTGACTGATCACACATGAAGTTTTCACTCTCCAAGTTTAGAAGCAGCTCTTCGTCTCCTTCCTTCGGGCACAGGAATGGTACTAGCCTGGATACTGCTAGCCCCAAGTCACATCACTCACATTTTTATAGTCCCCATACACTCATCATATTTTTCAATTCCATTGTAAGTAAGCTGATTTTGATTGATTGTGAGAATTTAAGTGATATACTGTTTTTCTCATGTTCTACCTCCAGTCCACGTCAAGAATTTACTTCCAACACATATTCTTTTTTTTTTGTTGCTTGCTTGCTTTATTTTTAAAAATTAAGAACATAGTAACTAGCATCTTTTGAGTGTTTAAAATGTGCCAGTTACCCTCTGCTTGACACTTTACATGCATCTACTTATCTTCTCTTCAGATCGCATAAATCTTTCGCCTTTTTACTTCCAACACATATTCTAAATTCTTCTACTTCTTTCCATTTTCCTACCACCATCTGATTAGTCACTGTTATCTGTTTGCCTTTACTATTGCAATAGCCTTCTAATTTGTCTTTACATTTTGGTCTTGCTTCCCTATAATTATTTTTCTATACAGCAAACAAACTAGTCATTTAAAGATATAAATCAGATTGTTCATCTCCTCATCCGAAAACCCTTCAATGGGCCTCCTATTGAACTTAAGAATTGCAAAGCCTTGTGTGCTGTGGCATCTGCACTTTGACTACCTCTGCAAACTCATTTGATCTTACCCTCTTACCCATGACGTACTGTTTCTTAAATATGTTAGGCTTGCCACTGCCTTAGAGTCCTTGCACTAGCTATTTTACTTGGCCTAAAATGCTCTCAACTCTTTCCTGCATGACTGGTTCTTTATTTATTCAGGTTTAAGTTTAAAAGTCCCATGCTCAGAGAGGCTTCCTTGACCATCTAATTGAAGCAGCTAGTCATATAGTACTTAATACCATGTGACACATTTTTCTGATTTTATATATCATTTTGTTTATCATCTAGTCCTCATTTGTAGAAAGTAACTTCCATGAGAGGTAAGACCTCCTATTATACATACTCAATACCTATAATATTGCCCGATACACAATAAGCACTGAACAGATATTGAATGAATGGAAGGGATCTAAAACGTAGCCTTTTTCATTTCCCTGTAATCATCAATAAACAGGAATACTTCAACCTATAGGTTTTGCCTTCCGCAGCCATTTCCACCCTGAATCCCTCAATAAGTTTAGCTGTACAATGGCTATTGGCTGTTTGAATAAATGAGTTGGGTTTATGACTTACAACTGAAATGTTTCATTGTACTTCGGTGACCATGTGTTGCTTTTTGTCTTTGTGCCTTGTTTTCTCTTCTTGTCTCCGAGGTTGGGTCCCAGTATACAGACTTCCACAAAGGGGCGGAACATTGCTGTGGTCTGCCAGTTTAGCTCATTAATAGCAACCACTAAAAATTGAAAGGAAAAAGGAAGGGAATAAAATTTTAGTGAACAGATATACGGAAACTTAGCCTTGTCTATTTGATCCTTAGAGTGAATTTTTATTTTTAAAAATGATTTATGAAGCCATAACTTGCATTTGATAGTGCCCTAACCCCACTGACAAGAAAATGCCCTCAAAGAAAAGACAATTTCCTCTCTGAAATGTACACTTGATGGAGCTTTTAGCTCTAAGCTGTGTGGCACTGGCATGGTGAAAAGTTAGCTGTAATTGAAGTGACATCTGTTACTAATGTAAAGTTACTATTCTTTTTCTTTAGGAAAAAATATGGCGTTTTTCATATTAAAAGTTATGTTCATCATAAAATATTTAGAAAATATACAAGAAATAAGTTAAAATAAAAGTCTAACTTTACCACTGAGAGACAATGACAATATTTTGGTGTGTATGCTTTCAGTATTTATTTACTTTATGTACAAATGTGTTCATGATGTAGTACAGTCTTATGGGTAGCTTATTAAAGTCTATCATGGATAGCTTTCTAATTCATTATTTGTTTTCCAGATGCAAATACTCCATTGTGTGAATATTCAATCCTATATTTAATTAGTCACTTATTATTAAACATTATGGTTGTTTCCTAATTTCAGGCATTATAAATAATTCTTACATAAACATTCCCAGATGTACACCATTGCTCATCCTTTGATGATATCCTCAGGAAAGTATCTCATAATTAGAATTTCTAATGCAAGAGATTCGTTAACTTTATGGCATTTGATATTGGCAAAGTATTTTTCAAAAATATTGCAGTACTCTGACAGTATATAGGTATGTCCCACTTATCTGTATGCTCACCAATACTGTATATGATGTATCTTACACTATAGCTATGTTTCTTTTATAATACAAAGATACATTATGTAATGCAATTTTAAAATATATTGAGAGATCATGGATTTTATCAAAGTGGATATTATTTAAAGTGACTAAGTCTATATTAATATAAAAATAGAACATGATTATATGAGCAAAATGTTAACCCTTGAATTTCACCTTTGAAATAATCCTTGCATTAAGATTGTTTTTGCAATATAAAACTAATAGATTGAGCCACTCACTAAAAAAAACTTTATGTGAATAGTAAGAACAAGCTAACTTACTGTTTAAATAGTAAGAACATGCTAACTTACTGATGGACATGTTATGAAGCCAACCATAGTACTAATGTTCAGTGAATATCACAGCACCAAGCACAGAATAAATGTTCAATACACATAATTTTGAAATTTAATCCATGTATTTAAGATATTTTAAATAACACAGGCTAAACATCTGTGCCATTAATTTTCAGTTTTAAATCAAAAGTTTTGGTTTCATGAAATTCTGAGCATATCCTGAAATAATGTAATACACATTTAAAAACAACAGATCCTAGAAAAATTATATTCTTGATATAATTATTGCTGCAGATGTTAAAGTTTAATAGGCTGTTTGATTTATCTGGACCTGAAATGTACCTTTTACAGTGACTTTGTGCTCGCCAATTCCTGGGGTGGCGGTAATATCCACATGAACAGAAATCTGACCCACTGCATCTTTGGAGGAGCGACCTGCAGATAAACAGAAGTTTACTGGCCTGAACTTTCAGACTGCTTAATCATGGACATTTATGTTCTCTGCAGAGGAGACTTAAAATATGTTATTGGAAATTAATAGTTCTCTCCATTAATAGCTCATGATATGTATATTCCTGGGGTGGCGGTAATATCCACATGAACAGAAATCTGACCCACTGCATCTTTGGAGGAGCGACCTGCAAATAAACAGAAGTTTACTGGCCTGAACTTTCAGACTGCTTAATCATGGACATTTATGTTCTCTGCAGAAGAGACTTAAAATATGTTATTGGAAATTAATAGTTCTCTCCATTAATAGCTCATGATATGTATTGATAAATGTTCACTAAATTAAGTTTGCTATGTAGGTCTGAGGTTCGGGTATAATATTTAGCACACTGAGCTAAAATTTTATATGGCCTGAAGAAATCATAAGATACACTGTTACTTTTATTACTGTTGCAAGAATTTGCAATTGCTTTCCTAGGTACTTGATAAAGCTCTATTCATTGCTTTTCATTCTTTGCTTCAGGATTTTTCTGTGTTGTGCCATACCAGAGCACAAAAAGATGACTCTATAGAGTGTCTGCCCTCATGAAGATCACAGTAGGCCAGAAGAGACCAACATATAAACATATGGATGTAATATAGTGATAAGTTCTATAACAGAAATATTTACAAGTCTCCTGGGGGCATTAAAAGAAGTAGTCAACTCTATCTTGGTAAAGATTAGTCAAGGGTTAAACGTGTACTGGAAAGTGCCTGTCATTTGGGATCAGATACACTTGAATTCAAATCAGAGTTATGTGACTACTGGTTCTGTGATCTTAGATAATTTACTATATTCTTAAGTCTCAGTTTTTGCATTTGTAAAATGAGATTGATGTTACCAACCTTTTAGAATACACACTTTTGCAAACATATCAGTGAACATATACTTTTTTTCTCACAAACTGAAGCACAGGCTCTAACTCTTTACTTACTTTTATATTTTCATCTAAAAATATATCATGGAAGACCACACATGGGGTCCTAGGCAGAAGGCACCTCACTGCCTGGTGGAAGTGAGGAGCATGGGGAAAACACCATTTCATGCAGGTGGTCCACCATAGCCTCTACAAAAGTGGCTTGTTGCCATAGTGGCAGCCAACATGTGAGTGACCCACCAGCCACTCAACTTCATTGACACAAAGAGAGTCACAGTGGAGACCAGAAAAAGAAAAGGAAATCTCTCTCCTCAAAGCTCACTCGATAGTAACAGAAGAAGAAACTACTCTACCAGATTACCGGATGTCAAAACAGAGATACTATAAATATGAAAATCCAAGAAAATATGACACCATCAAAAGAATGCAGTAATTCTCAACTAACAGACCCTATAGAGTAGGAAACCCTTGACATGACTAAAAAGGAATTCCAAACAACAATATTAAGGAAACTCAATGAGATACGAAAAGACTTAGACAACATAATGAACATAATGAAACAAGTAAAAAAAATCCAGGATGTGGAGAAAATTTACAAAGAGATTAACATCTTAAAAAAGAGTGTAGCATAACTCATGGAATTGAAAGATTCATCTACCAAAAAAACAACCCCCCCAAAAGAAAAAACAGAGTTTAAGCAGCAGGGTAGAACTAGCAGAAGAAAGAATTTCTGATCTTGAGGATAGTCTTTTTAAAATAACCCAAATGTGGGAGGTGGGGTGGAGGGAAGGAAAAGAATTTTAGAAAATGAAGAAAATCTAAGACAGTTAGCAGACAACCTTATGTGCACAAACATTCAAATCATCGGTGGAGAAGGAGAGAAGAAAGGAAAGGCATGGAAAACTGGTTTGATTAAATAATAACAGAAAACTTTCCAGGTATAGGGAGAGACATGGACCTTCAGATCCAGGAGGCTCAAAGATACCCAGACAGATTCAATCCCAAAATATCCCCCTGAGACACATTCAAGTCAAACTGGCAAAGCTCAAAGACAAAGAGAATCTTAAAAGAAGCAAGAGAAAAGCATCAAGTCACCTGTAAAGGAACCCCTATCAGACTAACAGCAGACTTCTTAACAGAAACTCTACAGGCTAGAAGAAAATGAGATGATATATTCAAAATACCAAAAGAAAAAAAACTGCCAGCCAAGAATACTATACCTAGCAATGTTATCCCTCAGAAATGAGGGAAAAATAGTGTATTTTCCAGATAAGCAAAAACTGCAGGAGCTCAGCACCACACAACCCGCCCTACAAGAAATCCTCAAGGGGAGTCCTGCATATGGAATCTGAAAAATGATAATCACTACCACAAATACACAAGAAAGAACAAAACCTACTGGTAGAACAAAAATGCAAACAAGAAAGAAAAAAACTAAATCTTACCACCTCCCAAAACCAACAAACATCAAAGACAAATAATAAAAGTAGAAGAAAGGAATAAAAGATTTAAAACATCCAAACGAAAATCAGTAAAATGCCAGTAGCAAGACAATACCTTTCAAAAACAACACTAAGCATAAATGGATTAAACTCTCCACTCAAAAAAACTGACTGATTGGATTAAAAAGTTAGATCCAACAACATGCTGTCTTTAGGAGACTTACCTTACCTGTAAAGATGCACATAGACTAATGGTGAATGTATAGAAAAGATATATCATGAAAATGGAAACCCCAAAAAAGCAGGAGTAGCTATTATTATATCAGATAAAATAGACTTTAAACCAAAAACTATAGAAAAAGATAAAGAAGGCCACTGTATAAAGATAAAGGGATCTATCCAGGAAGAAGGCATAATTATAAATATATATGCACCCAACACTGGAGCACCCAGATATATAAAGCAAACACTATTAGGCCTAAAGAAAGATAGATCCCAATGCAATAATAGTAGGGGACCTGAATACCCCTCTCTAAATACTGGACAGATCATTTTGGCAACAAATCAGAAACACAGGATTTAAACTACGCTCTAGACCAGTTGGACCTGGCAGATATCTACAGAACATTTCATTCAACAACTACAGAATATACATTCTTCTTCTTAACACATTGAACATTCTCCAGGATACACCATATGTTAGGTCCCAAAACATGTCTCACCAACTTTATAAACAAAATCATTTAAAGTGTCTTTTCAGATCACAACAGATTAAAACTAGAAATCAATAAATGAAACTCAGGAAACTATACAAATACATGGAAATTAAATGACATGCTCCTGAACGACCTAGTTGTCCAATAAGAACCGAAACAGGAAATCAAAAAATCTCTTGGAACTTATAAGAATGAAGATACATCATTCCAAAACCTGTGGGATACTTCAAAAATGGTACTAAGAGGGAAGTTTGTTGCAATAAATGCTTACATCAAAAGAATAGAAAGATTTCAAATAAACAACCTAATAAATGGTGCTGAGAAGAATGGACATCTCTATGTAGAAGAAAGAAACTAGACCTGGACCTCTTGCCATATACCAAAATCAACTCAAAATGGATTAAAGACTTGACCCAAAACTATAAAACTCCTAAGAGAAAACAAAGGGGAAACTTTAGGAAGTAAGACTGGGCAAAAACTTTAAGAACAAGACCCTAAAAGTACAGGCAATAAAGGGAAAAAATAAGTGGGATTATATCAAGCTTAAAAGCTTCTGCCCAGCAAAGGAAATAGTTAACAGAATGAAAAGACAACCTATAGAATGGGAGCAAATATTTGTAAATCACGTGTCTGACAAGGAATTTATATCCAGAATATAAAAGGAACTCAAACAACTTAACGAGTAACCCGATTAAAGAGTGGGCAAAGCAGCTAAATAGGCATTTCTCAAAGGAAGATACACAAATGGCCAACAGACACATGAACAAATGCTCAACATCACTCAGCATTAGTGAAATGCAAATCACAACCACACTGAGATATCATTTCATGCCAGTTAAACTGGCCAGTATCAAAAAGACACAGAATAACAAATGCTGGTGAGGATGTAGAGAAAGGGAAACACTTCCACATTGTTGATAGGACTATAAGTTAGTGCAGCTGTTATGGAAAACAGCATAGAGATTCCTCAGACAAGTATACACAGAACTGCCACATAATCCAGCAATCCCACTGATGGGTATATATACAAAGGAATGGAAATCATCATGTTGAAGGGATACCTGCGCTCCCATGTTTATCACAGGTCTATTTACAATAGTTAAGGATTGGAACCAATGTAAATGTCCATTGATGGATGACTGGATAAAGAAAATGTGGTATGTATACATGAAATTCTGCCATTTGCAGCAACATGGGTGAACTTAGAGAAAATTATGTTACATGCGATAAGCCAGGCACAGAAAGAAATACCAAGTCCTCACTTGCCAGTGGGAGCTAAAAATAAAAATAATAGAAGAAAGATACAACAATCACAATAATTCCTTGAACTTTCAAAAGGAGATAATGGAACTGAGTCCATCAGAAGTGGGAAAAGGGGAAGTGGAGGAGGGTTTAGGGATAATTTGGTAAAGGGCCACAAAAAATGTTTACATTGTATAATGATTAAAAAATATCAAGAAAAAATATGGAGGTCATTCTATTTTAGTACATATAAAGCTGCCACATTCTTTTTTGTGGCTTGGCATATCATAGCACTAACTACAAAGTAAGGGTCAATGAATACTTGCTTGAGAATGAATCACTGAGCTGTTTACAAATATTTAAATATTTAAAACATTAAGATAGTTATGACATTTAAAATAATTCTGGCCTTTAGTCCATTAATGAATATATCATAATTTAACCATACTTAATTTGTTTCTGATTTTTTGCTATTATAATCTATAACGAAACATTCTTTTTCATATATACAAGTTTATCTGTAATATAATTTCTAGAAGTAGAATATCTTTGTCAAAATTACATAGAATTTTAATGCCTTTACACTTTCATTTGCAATATATGAGATTAACAAGAATTTATTTTTATAAAGTGAGTGGCTAATATCCAAAGCTGAAAACAAA